ATTGATCCTCCGCATCGAAGGAGTTTGTCGCGTAATTCGCGACAACGGCTAATATACGCCATCCCTTTTTTGCCGGGTTTTATTTCCACTGTTTTCAGCTGTGCCATTAACCGACTCTGATTGACGCTGTTTGTTGCTTGATGCAGGTTCTTTAAATGGTTGTACGCGAGCTCGGCGGAGTTGCTGTATCCCTGATAAGACCGGATGTTCTGCTGCTGGTGTGGAGTTATGTTCCTCAGCAGGATCGTGTATGCCATCATCGACTCATAAGTATACTGTTGTTTGTCGTACTGCGTCCCGTGTGTTGGGTATGGCAGGGATCTGTCGAAGAATCCAAGGATTTTCGCGCCTTCCATCATCAGTTCAAACTCGAATGACCAGGTATCGAAATCTTTGCCGTCAAAAAGCGTTGAAATCTGTAGTTTCAAGACGTGCGCGAACTGCAATTGAACCTGAAGTGCATCCAGTGTCTTCTCCTGTCCAGGTTGAGGTTGTTGGTGCGGCATGAAGCTGATCAAGCCACGTTGAGGCTCATATGGAGCGAAGGTGGGTTGCTGCTGGTTTCCACGTGCATAGGATGAACCATCGAGGTTCATGGGTGTAACATCGTTTTTGTTGTTGCTGATGTTTGACTGTGCAGGTGCCGCTTGCTAATGCTGTTCGTAGAAGGACATGAAGGAGAAAAACTTCTCCATCATGCTTGGGTCGAAGCTTGTCGCTTGGTTCGCGGGAGTCTCAGTAGACTCAGCTGCTGGTCTTGTTGCTGTTCCTCCCTCTGTCTGTAGGCAGGAGGCTGGAGGTGGAGGAGTAGTGCCAGGAGAGCCATTGAAGGAGCTTCTCTCCTTCTGTGTTGCCATGCTTTCTGATATTGTAGGGGACTTGAATGTAGTTGAATCTGCCTTTACAGCTCTCATACCATGTTGGGCCGAGAAAACCCCTTAGGATCTTTTCAAGACTAAACTCTGAGTAGAAGTGTTGTAGTTGCGGAAGCGTTTTAATGACAAGTGTTGAACCACCTTGCGCTAGTGTGTGAGGGCAAGATTGATTGATTATAGAAAAGTAATTCAAGCCTTTTATAGGTTTACAAGGAATATGAAAGGGTGCAACTAATAACTGTTTTACTGTTGCTGTTGCGGTTCGATACAGTGACGACTCGGGCAACTGCTCAGTATCGAGTCAGTTGTTTGTCCTTGCTGTCATGCTGTATTTGTCTGTATTTGTCAAGTCAAAGGTTGCTGACCTTTGACCTTCGCGTAACCTCCAGCAGTTTGTCAACCTCCGATGGTTGACTCGCCATTGCTTCGTTGCTATTTGCTTCGTTTACAGTTCGATGTTCCGACACATCAGAAGCGTTAAGTTACTTGTTTCCAACAAATATGACATGGTACTGTACCATGTATACAGGGTTCTCGCTATGTTTTGGACCTGTCTGAGGGTATAACTAAAAAAAAAAAAAAAAATCTGACGCCTAGATGACCAACCTTCAGTTGTCTTAAAGTAAAGACGAAAAATTCTACAGAGTCTGATCTAACAGACGAAAAAAGTTCCCCGGTCTGAACGTAACACAAAGTAATAATATGTAGGATTTTCTACTTAGCCTAACTATGCATTACATCTATCACTATGTTAAGCAGTTAGCACATCCTAGATAACTAGCAACCTAGTTAGAGTCACTACCAACGCTGTCGTCATCATCAATGTCATCCTCGCTTTCCGCAAAAGGGTCTGGAGCTTTTCCCCTATCTTTCCGACTGAGCCAGGGGTATTCTGCATCAATCCTTGCGGCTTCTGCTGCTAGGGCTGCTTCTCGGGCTGCAGCTTCTGCTGCTGCCAATGCTGCGGCTGCTGCTGCTGCTGAGGCAGATCTTTTCTTCGCGCGCTTGCTTTGTCTCTCCCCGGAAGCCATCAGCACATCCTTGGCAGGCCTTCGTTTCTTTGAAGCGTTGAACCTCCTCAGTAACTCGGGCCACTCCATGTCATAGCTGAGAAGCGAGATGGTCATCAGCTCCCCTAGCTTCGCGTCACGCAGGTTCCCGCGAAGCCAGCTCTTGATCACATTCTGCCATGAGAAGCCGCGCTCGCACTCAACCGTGCTGAGCGGAAGAACGGCGACGGCGATCCACAAGTGCACGAGATTCGGGTAGCCGGTCGTCCAGTCGGGAGAAGACAACATGAGCTTCAGGCTGTCGGTGAAGCCCACATCCTCCTGGTGTGTGGCCATGATCATAGAGAATGTGACGATCTCCCTCTGCGCTCGCGCCCAATTGATGCCTACAGGGTGTGGTTCACAATGGGAAGTAGGTGCAACAGAAATGAAACATTCAAGTCAAGCATGCTATGCGGTAATCTGGTTAAGCAATCATCACATAGGCTACAAATTTCAAGTATTTTACGCACCTGGTAGGGTGTCGGGGTCTCAGGCTTCTTCTTAAACATATTGCGCAACGACTGCAGCCACTGTGCAAGTTTCCGCTCGCGCTTGGCCTGGTTTTTGGGATACGTCCCCTGCTTGAACAGCTTCGCCCCATCGAGGTTGGCGAGGTCCTTGAGGCGGTGATCCAGCCTGCCGATCAAGGTTGCCACGAACGCGCGCCCCAACTCCAAACACGCACCGTGATCCGCACCGGTCTTCTTCCCCTTGATGGGCTCCTCGTGGAGTGTGTAGGTAGGGTCAGTCGAAGTTCCGTCGGACGATGTGCCAGCCAGCTTCACCTCTCGGCTTTCCCTGGACGCGTGCTTCTTGAGAAAGGGGCCCAAAGCATCTCCGCCCTGGCCGAAAGACTCGTCGTCGCCGTCGAGGTAACGAGTGCGTAGCAGCAAAGTCGTGTTGTGTACCATCGGCAGCACATGGGTCGCGTCAACCTGAAACGAAGCACAAGAGAGGTCAGTACTTAACGTGGGGTTGAAAAAAACCGATGCTTGTAATGCAGAACACACGCTCACATGGCGACACTGGAACTTCAAGCTCAGAAGGTTGAGCTCCTTCAGCACATCCGCTAGGAAAAACAGCATGAACTAAAACTTGTAGCTAGTGATGACCTTGTATATCTTCTTCGAGAACTCGTGCAAGACAAACACTGCTGCCGGAAACACTTTCACCAAGCGCCCGAGAGCTTGACCGCGAGACAACCAACGGACGTCCTTGATTCCTTGAACTTCGAGGTTGGTCTCGCAGATGACCTCCTGCAGCTCAATAAAGCGTGAGTGGACGACCGAAGAACGACCGAGGTTCTCAGCAACGGCGCGAACCACCTTGTCCACGACGTTAAAATCCGGGTGTTTGATGGCTGCATCTTTGGCCGCCAAGGCCTCCCTGCAAAAAAAACGATAAATTAGAAATCATGAAGAGAGCAAGCCCGCATGAATGCAAAGCACGACTACACTTGCCTGTGCGCGATGCAGTGTGATGACACGATACGTGGAACCTTCTCTTTGCAGCGCGCGGTCACTCCGTTGTGCTGGCCGATCATGACACTAGCTCCATCAGTGCTCATGCCGGAGATTCGCTGGAGATCGATGCCACTACGCTCCAAGTGGGTAAGGAGAACGGTCGTGAGCGAAGCGGCGTCACACTGCTCTACAGTCAGCAATGCGTAGAACTCGGTGATGGGAGCGTTGTCACGCATGAACGTCATGTAGACGATAATGTGTTTTCCCTTTCGTCGGTCGGTGCTCTCGTCCAGCTGGATACCAAGGTAAGGACTGTCGCGGATGAGTTTCAACTGTCGGGATTTCAGGTAGCACACCATAGTCTCAACCAGTTGTGCGTAACCGTACCTGAAACAAGTAGGGAATGTTCTCATTAGCAACTAAAAGAAAACAAACCACAAAACGTGAAAGACGGGACACTTACTCGCTGTAGTACGTCCCGTTCTCCTTAAGGGGCAGATCCGGAGTCCCCTGCTCAGCCATGAACTGGACGAGTGACACGAAGAGCACAATGGGTGCGTCAGATTTGCAAATGAACAAAACAATCGACATCAAACGAGCAAGGCGCTTGACCTCCTCGTCCCCTTGATGAAATTCCACAATGGACTTCTGTCCTTTCTTCGCTCCGTCACGTTGCTCCTTCCGCAGGACCGCCGCCTCATGCTTCAGGCTGTGGTGATGCTTGCGCGTCTACTTTGATGGAATGTCGGTGCCACCAACACCGTAGCGCCCGTACTTGGAGTGGGGGTCGGCGAAAACCATGCAGATGCTGCAGCACATGCAGGTTCGGCCATCCTTGGTTTCAAAGATGAATAGCTAGGGAAAGTATTGCTGCCACTGCTCCTTGCACTTCAGCTGAAGCTCCTCAACTGACAGCTTCTTGCCTTTGGGGTCCTCGAAGTCTTTAGCCGCAGGTTCGGGAGCCACGGGTCGCGTCTCCACAGACGGTGCCGGCTGTGTCGGACCGCCCGGACGCGCGAAGTTCAGAACGCGCTGCTTGTACTGCCCATTTGATGACCTGTCGGGCAAGACGGGGTTAGCCCTGAGAGAGGTTTTGGTAGCGTCATATACTACACGGACGTTGTTATCGGCACCGCAGGACGGCATGCAAGTAGATACTGGCATAGTAGGCGTGGCGGTCGATGGCACAGAGTTATCGCCATTTTCTGACAATGGCGCATCGTCAATGGGCGAAGGTACCGCGGCAGATGTTGAAGCAATTGGTGGGGCAACAGGGGCGATCGGCTTGCCCCGCGTTAGGAAGTCTAACGTCGAAACCCCTGGCGGCGGATTGGTGGGGTCGGCCATAGCCTAAACTAGATGAAAGAAAGAAGCTGTGACGAGGGAAACAGACCATGCTCGGCTGGGTGAGAGGTGAGGAGGACGAGCTCCACAAACAGCCTGTATAACAAGCCTCGCTCAGCTGCATGAGACCCCCCCCCCCCCGTCATCGTGCAGTATACATCAAAAGGCGATGCGGGATGGGAGCGGGGGACAAGACAACCACCGTCCTTTCTTTCGTAACGTGTAGGAAAGTGAAGTGCGCTGGCACAATGTGACAGCGTGTTGCCATGGCTGTGGCTGGTGTCGGCGCCGACAGCCAGCCACACGACAGTCTCCTGGCAGCAAATGCCGCAGGTTCGCGACAGCGAGGCTGCTACAAGACACGCACATTGAATGCGCGTGCAGATACAGGGCAGCAACCATACTTGTACCTGTGGTCCTTAGGTCTACTGGGAATATGGCCTAGTGGTCCTATGGCCTAGTGGGCAAATTTGTCGGTTTCAGACGAAACCGAACTCGATATCTGTAAAATCGGACGAAGTATTCTACATGGTCTGGAAAATTATACGAACGTTAAGCCTTTGTCTTACTCCTCAGATGAGGAAAGACATAATTTCTTAGAAAACAGATGAATACAAAAAATCACGTCTGGAATTCAGAAATTCAGACCAGATTGGTCTGATAACGAGAGGCCTGCATGTATAGATTATCGGCCTCAGGGCCACACATCAGGAGTATTTGCGAGGGCCATAAGTTAATGCCTATAACGCTGATGACAGTTATGCTGCTGGTGTTAAAGACGGCGGTTTGTTAATGGTGGTGATTGTGATTGTAATGATGATTGTGATTGTGATTGTGACAATGATTGTGATGGTGATGGTGATGGTGATGGTGATGGTGATGGTGATTGTGATTGTGATTGTGAATTGAATGTTGATGATGATTGTGATTGTGTTGGTGATTGTGCCGGGGCTGCCAGTGTCGACGCTCCTCGTAACGATGCTGTTAGCCTCGCAGGTGCTGGTGCTGCTGCTGCTGCTGCTGCTGCTGGTGCTGCTGCTGGTGGTGCTGCTGCTGGTGGTGCTGTTGGTGCTGCTGCTGCTGGTGCTAGTGCTGTTGGTGGTGCTGCTGCTGGTGCTAGTGCTGTTGGTGCTGCTGCTGCTGGTGCTAGTGCTGTTGGTGCTGCTGCTGCTGGTGCTAGTGCTGTTGGGGCTGCTGCTGCTGGTGCTAGTGCTGTTGGTGCTGCTGCTGCTGGTGCTAGTGCTGTTGGTGCTGCTGCTGCTGCTGGTGCTAGTGCTGTTGCTGCTGTTGCTGCTGGCAGTGGTAAAACGGCAGGGCTTGAAGGACTGGGAGGAGGAGCGATGTCTTTTGGTGGTGGGAATGGTGGTGGTGGGGATGGTGGTGGTGGGGATGGTGATGGTGGTGATGGTGGTGGTGGGGATGGTGGTGGTGGGGATGGTGGTGGTGGTGATGGTGGTGGTGGGGATGGTGGTGGTGGTGATGGTGGTGCTGCTGATGCTGGTGTTGCTGCTGGTGGTGCTGCTGTTGGTGGCGTTGCTGCTGGCAGTGGTAAAACGGCAGGGCTTGAAGCACTGGGAGGAGGAGCGATGTCTTTTGGTGGTGGGAATGGTGGTGGTGGGGATGGTGGTGGTGGGGATGGTGGTGGTGGGAATGCTGTGCAAGAGGGAAACATGAAGCAGAGGGAACACAAACAAAAAGGAAAGCCAGGGAGTAGATCAGCAAGCCAGAGCATCAACACGATCACATGCGCAGTGCTTTCCAAATGCTGTGACTTATGAGTCGGCTCAAAAGTCACCTCAGTAGGAACACAAACAGCAAGGAAATCCAGGGAACAAATCAGCAACGAAAGCCAGGGATAAATGAGCAAGCCAGAGAATCAAAACGATCACAAGGATACGCATTGCTTTTTAAATGATTTCGCAAGGATTTCTGTTCACTCCAAATTTACACCAGATTACGCAAGCCTAGAAAATGTTGAAGATACTCGGATGTTTTTACAAGAGATCACCTGACAAACCACTTGATGAGGAAAAAGTTCACCTGGGATACGACCTGGAATGAGCAGGTGGGAACTTACGAGGGCTGGGAGGAGGGAGAGCTGGTGAGCGGCAAGAGATTAGGAGAGGGGGGCGGGGAGGGGAGGATGAGAGGAGGGGGGGACGAAGAAGGTACGGGAGTTACTCACGAGGGCTGGGAGGAGGGGGGGCTGGGGAGCGGCGGGAGATGAGAAGGGGGCGGGGAGGGGGACGAGGGTTGGGAGGAGGGGGCCGAGGAGGGGGTAAAGGAGGTGAGGGAGGGGGAGTGGGAGGAGGTGATGGGGAGGAAATCGGAGGCGGAATGGGTGCTAGAGCGGGATCTTGTGCTGCGAAACAAATGGGAATAGGGGAGAAAGGAGGGAGTATAGAAAACAGAAGGGAAAAAGAAAACAAAATGGGCGCGATAACGTGAAGATCGAAAGGTCGCAGGTGCAGAGCAGACATGGTTAAAAAATATGGTTTTTGAGGCGCCTCAAAAGTCGTCTCATGTTTTGAGGCGCCTCAAAAGACGATGACGTGAAGACCAGAAGGTCGCAGGTGCAGTGCAGACAAGGTTAAAAAATACGGCTTCAACCTTGGTTTTTTTAACCCTGGGTGCAGAGGAAAATGCATGGAGACATGGTTGGGGGAAGGAAAGGAAAAACCAGGGGAGAGGGGAGGGCAGGGAAGCATTGAAATTCGTGAGCAACAGAACAGAATACAAACACGTTTTCGGGTTAAAAACTCTACTTTGATGGAATCAGAACTCTACTTTGATGGAATCAGAACTCTACTTTGATGGAATCAGAACTCTACTTTGATGGAATCAGAACTCTACTTTGATGGAATCAGAACTCTACTTTGATGGAATCAGAACTCTACTTTGATGGAATCAGAACTCTACTTTGATGGAATCAGAACTCTACTTTGATGGAATCAGAACTCTACTTCTCTTGCACACGGCCTTTGGTTTGCCGCCATACCTATCTTGGGTGGAGGAGGGCTGCACTGTGCAGTGGGCAGTGGGCAGTGGGCTGTGTGCTGTGTGTTAGAATTATATGTTCTAGCATGCTAACACTTGTGACTGTACACCAAGTGTGGTGTACAGTTGGGTTGGGACTACACCCAACTTTGGGTGTAGTCTTGCATTGGGGTGCCAATCCACCCAATTGTGGTGGAGCCCCCAAATGCAATCCACTTGGCCTAAGGTTGCCTCACTTCCCAAAAGTGAGGCCAACCTAGGGATGAGCAAATGGCGAACACGAACATGTTTGTGTTCGCCTGGGCTCGAACATGGCCGTTCGGCGAACCGAACACTGTTCGGTTCGCCGAACACTTTACACCAGAAAGGGTGTTCGAAGTTCGCCAAGAGAGGCGAACATTTTGAACGTTTTGGCGAACACGAACACGTTCGCCAAGAACATGTTCGTGTTCGCCTTAAAGGACCTTCTTGGATCCAAGTAGAGTGAAATCCAAATGTTTCACATTCCCTCCCCCCACCCCCCAAGCCAGTCCCGCCCTGCTTCATCCATACTAGTGCCAGCGTGTGACGGCGAAAGGCTAGATCTGCACTTAAGCAACCGCGAAATGCTAGATCTACGCTTAAGCAACGGCGAAATGCTAGATCTGAGCTTAAGCAACGGCGAAATGCTTGATCCGCACTTAAGCAACGGCGAAATGCTAGATCTATACTTAAGCAACGGCGAAATGCCTTGATCCGCACTTAAGCAGCGGCGAAATGCCTTGATCTGAGCCCTAACACCAAGGCCCGCGACCTAAAAATTGGTCGCGGGCCTATTCGTCGACGAACACCAATGTGTTCGTCGAAGGCCCGTGTCGAACACGAACACGTTCGTGTTCGACGCGCCTCGGCCAGCTGAGCCGGGCGAACGGCGAACGTGTTCGGGCGAACACCGAACACGTTCGCCCCGAACAATTTAGGCCAAAAAAGTTCGAGGCGAACCGAACAGGTGTTCGTCATATTGCTCATCCCTAGGCCAACCCAACCAAAGTGGGCCTGAGGTTGCCTCACTTCCCACAAAGTGTGGGCAACCCAACCCACTTGGCCTAAGGTTGCCTCACTTCCGAAAGTGAGGCCAACCCAACCTATGGCCAACCCAACCTTTCCCTTCCAAGCTTCTAATCCAACATATGTATGCTTGTTTCTCCTCTAATGGATTCATTGGTTCAGTTTCCTATTTTCACACTGTGTGCTGTGTGCTGTGTGCACCCATATCTATTCCCAACTGGTCCATTGTCCTCATACATACATACATACACACACACACACACACACACACACACACACACACACACACACACACACACACACACACACATACATACATACATACATACATACATACATACATACATACATACATACATACATACATACATACATACATACATACATACATACATACATACATACATACATACATACATACCCGTTGTTGTTTTTTAGAATTCTCAAACCGTGCAGTGTGCCACCATACCTGTCAGCAGGCCCATTGCTCGTTTATCATACATACATGCAAACATACATCATACCATACCATACCATACCATACCCTACCATACCGTACCGTACCGTACCATACTGTACCGTACCCTACCATACCATACCAAACCAAACCAAACCAGACCATACCTGTCATAGGCACGTCTGTTTCTCTCATATATACTAACCAGTAGAAAATGGTGGTGGTGGGGGTAACGGGGTGATGGGGGTGGCGGCGGTGACTGTGGTGGTGGCGAGAAGAGTGGGGGAGGTGGAGGGGAGGGAGGAGGAGAGGGAAGAGGAGGCGAGGGGGGAGGAGGAGGGGGTGGGCTGGGAGGAGGAGGGGGTGGGCTGGGGGGAGGAGGGGGTGGGGGAGGGTTAGCTGCAAGGATGGAAGGGGAAAAGGTAAGGAAGGAAAGGAAAGGAGTGAGTAGTGCGGGGGCGAGAGAAGAGCACGATTGGGGAGATGTCGGTCTGACTTTCGGGAAGGAGCGAATGCAGATTTTTTTTTTCGTAAGAGATGCTCATTATAACGAAAGTCACTAGAATTGACAATCCATGCAAAGAAGAATGGCGCAAAGAGAGTGGGGCAAAGAGAGTGGTGCAAAGAGAGTGGTGCAAAGAGAGTGGGGCAAAGAGAGTGGTGCAAAGAGAGTGGGGCAAAGAGAGTGGTGCAAAGAGAGTGGTGCAAAGAGAGTGGGGCAAAGAGAGTGGTGCAAAGAGAGTGGGGCAAAGAGAGTGGTGCAAAGAGAGTGGTGCAAAGAGAGTGGTGCAAAGAGAGTGGTGCAAAGAGAGTGGGGCAAAGAGAGTGGTGCAAAGAGAGTGGGGCAAAGAGAGTGGTGCAAAGAGAGTGGTGCAAAGAGAGTGGTGCAAAGAGAGTGGTGCAAAGAGAGTGGGGCAAAGTAAGGGGTGCAAAGGGAGGGAGGGGTGCTCTCAATACCGATCTTGCATTGCGTGCAGACGTTGGGGCAGAGAGAGCAGAAGGCGAGCGGAGAAGCAGAGGAGGCGAGGGGGGAGCGGAGAGAGGGAGTGCACGCAGAAGCAGGTGAAGGACACTCCATGCCCTCGCTGATGCTCCTGTTGTTGTGGGGGAGTGGTGGGGACAAAGAAGAAGAAATACGAAGCCCCTAGCTACCTTGCACCGATTTCTTCTGTTTATTGCTTTTTTTTTTTTTTTTTTTTTTTGAGTTGTTTAAGAATGCTCCATGTCATGCAAGTGCTGATGCTCCTGTTGTTGTGAGGGGGAGTAGAGAAGAAACACAGTGGGGGGAAAAGGGGAGGGCGTGGAGGAAGGGTGGGAGGGAAGAATTGGCACACAAGTGGGATTGGGAGTTCAAGCAAAGTTGCTTCTAAGGATGCTCAAAAGCAACTCCAACGTATCATTGGTCTTGCGTTCGAGCAAAGAGCGTACTGCCTGCTTATGCTCCGGAAATCGGAATGGAGACAGGGGGAAATCGGAAGAGGTAGAGGATTAGAATGGAGACAGGGGGAAATCGGAAGAATGGAGACAGGGGGAAATCGGAAGAATGGAGACAGGGGGAAATCGGAAGAGGTAGAGGATTAGAATAAAAAGACAGAGATACAGACTCACGGATGCACAAGTCATCGATTAACACAAGTCAGAGAGCCAGCGCACGAGTCACACTCACAGGAGCACTCACAGGAGCACTCACAGGTGCACTCACAGGAGCACTCACAGGAGAACTCACAGGTGCATGAGGTTGGGGCATTGAGCAAGAACGACAGGGATGCCCCCTGTGAAGCTGTTGCCGGCGAGTTGTCTAAACGGGGATGGTTGGGGAATCGTAAGGGAAACGTTCAAGTGTGTGAGAAGATACACGGGGAAGGGGGCCAAGGAGCTGTGGAGGATGAGAAAGAACGACAGGGATGATCCCTGTGAAAGTGTTGCCGTTGAGTTATCTGAAGGGGGGGGAGGGGGGGGGTGATAAGAGGAGACGTTTGAGCGAGAGGATGCATGGTTTTTGAACCTGAGGTGCAATGGGCTGTGGAGGATGGGCAAGCACCACAGGGATGATGACCCCTGTGATGTGAAGGTGTTGCCAGCGAGTTGTCTGATGGGTGGGGCGGTGGGGAAAAGTAAGGGGAACATTCAAGTGTGTGAGAAGATACACGGGAAGGGGGCCAGGAGCTGTGGAGGGTGAGCAAGCACGATAGGGACAGCCCCTGTGAAAGTGTTGCCAGAGAGTTGTCTGATGGGGGGGGGGGGGGGGGGGGGGGGAGGGGATAAGGGAGAGGGAGACGATAGAGTGAGAGGCTACATGGGAAGGGAGAACTGACGGGGAGGAGAGTAAAACAAGGAGCATAGGGACTTCAAAAGACAAGGAGTGGTGGGTGGGAGTTCGTATGTGAAAAGAATGGCAGCGGGATAAGGGAGACGATTGATGGGGATAAAGAATAAATGGGAAGGGAGAACTGACGGGGAGAGAGTAAACAAGCAGCAGAGGGACTCACACGGTGTAGAGAGTGGGTGAGACAGGGAATACAGAGTCAGTGATTGGACCGGAGAGGTTGTTGTTTTGCACGTTGCTGTGAGGGAGGGATGGGGAAAGAGGGGTGGAGAGTGGAGGGTGGAAAGGGGAGGGTGGAGAGGGAAGGATGGATGAGAAGGGTGGAGAGGGGATGCTTAAGGGACGAATAGAGATTGGAGGGTTCGAGGGTGGAGAATGGAGAGGGAGGTATTTGGAGTGAAGAGATGGAGAGGGGAGGAAGGGAGACGGGAGGATGGGAGAGCGGAGATGACATGGAAGACCCTCACTCACAATGTGAAAAAGGCCGGGTTGGTGATGGAAGGTTCAGGGAGGCGGCCTGACAGCTGGTTGTTGGCGAGCAGGCTGCATGGATGGTAGAACAGAGAGGTCGAAGTTTTTCAATAGGAATGAGAGGGGGTCGGATCAGAGAAGGTGGGATCAGAGAGGGTGGGATCAGCGAGGGTGGGAACAGAGAGGGTGGGAACAGAGAGGGTGGGAACAGAGAGGGTGGGAAGAGAGAGGGTGGGAAGAGAGAGGGTGGGAAGAGAGAGGGTGGGAAGAGAGAGGGTGGGAAGAGAGAGGGTGGGAAGAGAGAGGGTGGGAACAGAGAGGGTGGGAAGAGAGAGGGTGGGAAGAGAGAGGGTGGGAAGAGAGAGGGTGGGAAGAGAGAGGGTGGGAACAGAGAGGGTGGGAAGAGAGAGGGTGGGAAGAGAGAGGGTGGGAACAGAGAGGGTGGGAAGAGAGAGGGTGGGAACAGTGCGGTCTAAGAAGCGGTTTGCAGTGGAGGTTGAAAGATCACTGACAGGTTTTTCAGCTTGGGAGCATGCGCAATGGAAGGTGGTATGCAGCCCTGAAGCAGGTTGTTGGAGAGGCTCCTGTGGAGATAGGGAACGGAGGGAGAGAGAAAGGACAATGGAGAGTGAGGGACGGAGGGAGACAATTGCTGGTCAACGGGTTCGTTGTGCAGGAGAGCGAGTGAGCGAGCGGAGCAAGTGATTTCATTGTCACTCTTGAGGGAAGCCCATCAGAAGTTGTAACAAGGAGACGGCAGAAGAAGCTACCTCACAAGCTCAGAGCAGAGAGTGAGAGCACACAGAAGGGCAGGATTGCACACAGAAGGGCAGGATTGCACACAGAAGGGCAGGATTGCACGAACCGAACCCCGCCCAACATGTGCTTGAGAGGCGCCGTCTGAGCCTTTTAGCTGGGTGGGATGCTGGAGACGATTTTTGAGACGCCAGAAGAACCGATTTATAAGTTGACTAAAAAGTTGTATGAGGAACCCCACTCAAAGCATGATAGTGGGTTTGAGGCGTCTCAAGAGAGGAGGAGAGACAACAGGCTGTAAAAGACGGTGGGCAGTGGGGGCAGAGGGGGCTTGGCGTTCTTAAGGGTATGAAGGCTTACAGGGTATGAAGGACTGAGAAGTTTGCGAAGTTGGTTGGCAGAGAGCCACTGAGGCTGTTATGGTTGAAATAGCTGGTGGGGCAGGGGTGTCGCATAGGGGGATGGTGGGTGGACGGATGGGGAAGTAGTGGGAATATGGGAATGGGTGAAGGCCGATAAGCAGAGGACGGGTGCGGAGAGAAGGAATCAACAGTGGGGTGCAGTGCAGAGGGGGATGGAGAGCGGGGGAATAAAAGAGGGGGTTGGAGAGCGGGGGAATAAAAGAGGGGGTTGGAGAGAGGGGGAATAAAAGAGGGGGTTGGAGAGCGGGGCAAGTCACCAAATTTGGTTGCTAGAGTGTCCTCGAGCGGGTGGTCGCTTGGAACTACAAGTGGGATGTGGTTACTTGGAGTTTATCAATCAAATATAACATAATTATTGAGGCGCCTCAGAAAGAGCAGTGGAGAGGGTGGTCAGTTGGAGGAGGAGAGGAGGGGGTGGTGGTAGGGCTGGTAACTCAAACCATATCAATCACGTATGGAGAAGTATAGTGCTTGGCATGCAGGTGTGGAAGTGAGTGATGGTGTCTTAGGGGATGCTTCTATCAGTGATCACACGTGCCACAGACGTGGCAAGGAGACAAAAGATCCTGACATATTTCCACGTTGCGTTCGAGTTCTCTCCATTTTTTTTTTTTTTTTTTTTTTTTTTTTACGAAACTCTGCTGCTCACATGTACTGCAGGCGTGGCAAGGCGGCGAGGAAGGAGGGCATGGGCAGAGCGAGGGAGCAGCAAGGGGCAAAGCGGGACGAGGAATGGAAGGAGAGGAGGGCAGACATATGGGCGGAAGGGAAGTGAGCGGAATGAGATAATGAGACTCATTTACAGTGATTTGTGCGTGTGGGGGAGCTGGTGGGCACATGGCATGTGGGCACTTGGCGTGTGGGCAGCAGAGGAGAAATCAGGAAGCGGGAAAGGAAGACCCATTATCATGTAACACTTTGATTGGCCCAACCACTTATGAGGAGTGGTGGGAGGAAACGAACGATTGGCCCAACCCAACTGGCACCAGCGCAACACACATGGAAATGGCAGCACTGTCCAGAGTGCGGATGTAAAATGACTGACAGGAAGGAGAGAGTAGTGAGAGAGGAGAAGGAGAGAGGGATGGATCCAGTGATGCTGTTGTTGTCGGCTCGCCTGCCATGCCGTGATGTGATGTGATGTGCCACACAACAACCATGCCATGCCATGCCATGCCATATGCCATGCCATTCCGTGCCATGCCGTGCCATGCCGTGCGATGCGATGCAATGCAAGACTGGAATGAGATCAACTTGGAACCATAGCATAGAAGGCATGGCCCCTATCACAGTATCACTCCGTTGCCGCACTCGCTTAGCAGCATAGCAGGTAGGAAAACGGAGTGAAGGCGACCCACATGCAGCTGAGAGGATTAGTGTAAAACAGTAAGTAAGACGTTAATCAGGTACAATAGAGACCTACAAGGAACTACAAAAGGTGAGGTAGGTAAACGGATTGAAGGGATGAAAAAAACAAAGTATGATAGGCAAGGAGAGTGAATGAGACATACATGGAGCGGAGAAGCCTCAGATTGCCCATGGTAGATGGCAGTGACCCTGAGATGCTGTTCTGCGAGAGGTCACTGCGATGGACCGATAGATAAGGGCAGCATACAGGGGACCACAGGGGAGAGAGAGAGTGCGATGGAAGAGGATGGCTCGAAGGGAACAGACGAAGGGAGAAGCTTTTACAAATCAAGAACGCGTTTCTTGAAGAAAAGATCCTCTGGCAATTTTGAGAATTTCTTGGAAGCTGACTTTATTTATGCATCAAGTAGGAAAGATCCTCTGACATTTTCCAGTGAGCTGCTGCGGTGCTAAACAAGCTAAACCAACCAACCTTGTTTGCAATCAATAAGCAGGGAATGCGGAGAGAAGGAAGGCAGTTCTCACAAGCCTTGCAAGCTAGAGAGCCCCCCCATGGCTTGTGGCAGGCTGCCTGAAAGCTGGTTGAACTCCATGCTCCTGCCATGAGCAATGGGTGATGCGCAAACTAACTCCTCAACCCAACTCATTGGTGGGGGCCAATAATGTTGGCAAGGTTTCCAACCATACCTCCATCCTAGCTCAACTATGTAAACCCACATACTTCCTAATCAAGCGATCGGTTCTTCTTCAATCTTTGTCACAATGATGAGTGGTGATGAGTGGTGATGAGTGGTGATGAGTGGTGATGAGTGGTGATGAGTGGTGATGAGTGATGGGCGATGAGCGATTGCAATGAGCAGTGTGCGTGCGACGAGCAATGCGCGCCACGCAATGGCCAATGATCACAACAGCGGCGCAGCGCAACACAGCATAATGCGTGCAGATGTAAACCCACAGGGGCACCACTGCACGCACGCACGCACTGGGCAGATAGCACAGCACAGAACAGAACAATGCACGAGGCAGCAACAGACTCACAGGACGGCGAGGTTTTGGAGTTTGGAGATGGAGGCTGGAAGGGAGCCGGTGATGGTGTTGTTGTCCAGCCAGCTGGGGATGGCGGTGGGGGGTTGAGGATGGGGAGAAAGAGGAACGGGAAATGGGGCAGGCAGGAGATAGGGAGATCTACGTGTGGAGGATGGCAGGGGAGCAGTGAATCGGTGATGGTGTTGTTGTCAAAACTAGAAACTCACAGGCCTTGCGTTTTGAGACACCTCAAAGCTCAAAACTAGAAACTCACAGGCCTTGCGTTTTGAGACACCTCAAAGCTCAAAACTAGAAACTCACAGGCCTTCCAAGTTAGAGAGACCCCTGATGGCCCGGGGCAGACTGCCTGTGAGCCGGTTGACCTGCATGCTCCTGGAATGGGTGGTGAGTGGTGAGAAGGGAGTGGTGAGTGGTGAGAAGTGAGTGGTGAGTGGTGAGAGGTGAAGAAGAGTGATGAGTGGTGAGTGGTGAGTAACAGAGCAGTGCAGCATAAAAACTGGTCTGAAGAAGGCTGAACGCATGTAAGGCCATGACAGAAAAATAAGTTTCACGCATGGCAGGTAAGTGGTGTTTACACAAAGGTCATGACAAATAAGACACACCACCACAATGCATATGCATATTGACACACCACAATTCATGGACACACCTCAACGCATGAGGCACGGCACAATGCATGAGGTACGGCACAATGCATGAGGCCCGGCCCGGCACAATGCATGAGGCACCCCACAATGCATGAGGCACGGCACAATGCATGAGGCACCCCACAATGCATGAGGCACGGCACAATGCATGAGGCACAGGCTCACAGGAAGAAGAGGTTTTGGAGTTTGGAGATGGAGGATGGAAGGGAGCCGGTGATGGTGTTGTTGTCCAGCCAGCTGGGGTCGGCAACGGGGGGAGAATTGAGGATTGGGAGAAAGAGGACAGGAAAACGGCACGCAAGAGAGAGGGATTGAGACCGGTGGCAGGGTTTAGGGTCTAGTTTGGGGGACCAGTGGCAGGGTTTCGGGTTTAGGGTGATGGTGCTGTTGTCTAGCCAGCTGGGTCGGCAGTGGGGGATTTGAGGGTGGGGAGAAAGAAGAGGATAGGGAAGACGGGAAGAAGGCAGAGCCGTTCCCTGCCATCCTCCTCACTACGACTATACTAAGACAATTCGATTTTAGATGGAACAACAACTCACAGGTACATCAGCAGCAGCAGCAGCAGCAGCGGCCACTCCCATACCCTGAAGCAGCAGCAGCAGCAGTGTCCGCCACGCCACTTACACATAAGAGAGGTCTACGAGGCGGCTGATGGTCGATGGGATGCTGCCAGAGAAGCGATTGTGAATGCCGTTGCTGCAGGTGGAGTGAGTGGGAGGGGGGGATCGAAGAGCGGGAGATGTGCGTCAACAGGGAGGGAATGCAACGAAGTGAAGGAAAAGTGTGTCAACTGGGAGGGAATGCAAACAATGGGGGGAGATGGAAGGCGGAGGGCAAGGGCTGGCAACATGTGGAGGAAGACGAACCATGTGTGGACAAGGGCAAAAGAAAGAAAGAAAGAAAGTGTAGAAAGTGGATCGGTGAACTTAAGGGCACAAACGGAGGAAGAAAATATCCTTAGCAGGAAGATGGTACAAGTCATAGAGACTAGAGCAAGGTCCTTGTCCAAGGATGAGTACTAGTGAAGGAGGAAGCCACATATATATGGCTGAACTCTTGAGGCTAGCTGCAGCACCTCAAAGCTGAGGGCAAGGCTAGCCAACCTTGCCAAGCTAGCAAGTGAGGCCTCATGTTGCACATGTGGGCCAGGCTGGAACAACAACCCACATGGCAGCATATGGCACATCATAGGGGCCAGCAAGGTGAGCATTGGATGAGTGGACAGGTGGCAATGCCAATTGTGACCACACATCACTGTGGGTGAGTGTGGTGGAGTGTGGACATGTCATGGTGAGCATAATGAGAAGGGAAAGTGCAGCTGCTGAGAGCTTCTTGACTTTAAGTCGACTCCAAGAACAAGGGCAACAAATCAAAGTCGTCGCCTCAAAATGCGCCTTATTCTTGACTGTTTCTTCAGTCGAGTAAATAATGTCTGCAGGTTTCTTGACATGACTCAAAGGTGCTGCAGGCGCTTCACGCCAGCGAGGGGAGCGAGCGAGCCGGTGAGATTGTTGCCGGGAAGAATGCTGCCGGGGAGAGATCGGAGGGAGTGCAGGGGGGATGGGATGGGATGGGAGGGCGGAACAGAGGGGGTGACGGGGGAAAGCGAGGGGGAAAGGGGAGTGACAGGGGGAGGGGGATGAAAGGGGCGGATCAGGGAAGGAGAGGAAGGTGGAAAGGAAGGAGGGAGAGAAGGGTGGGATTGTTGCAAGGACGATTGCTGGGAGACCAAAGGTAGGCAAGAGGGAACGAAGGAGAGGACTGGAAAGGCAAGGGTTAGGTTAGGATTGAAGGGTTAGGATCTAAGGGTTAGGATTTAACGTTGTGCAAAAGCATTCACTGGCTTTTTGTGTTGCCATAAACTCTGGGAGGAGAAACAGGTGATCGGGTGTGTGGGGTGGCGGGAAGGGGTGGGGGGGGGAGGTGGTACTGCTACCAGCTAGTGGTGGGAAGAAGCCAAAGCAAGGACGCACGCACAGCATGATGAGGTTGGTGAGGCGCGAGAAGCCCGAGGGCAGCGAGGAGGAGAGGCCCACCCGTGTAAGTTCCCTGCGGAAAGGGGACGGGAGGAGTGGAGAGTGGTGCAGTGGAATAAAGCGGAGAGTGCGGATGAGTGGTGTCATGTGGTGTGGTGTGGAGTGGAGTGGAGTGGAGTGGAGTGGAGTGGAGTGGAGTGGAGTGGAGTGAGGTGGTGTGGAATGAAAAGAGATGCTAACAGCAGGAGAGAGATACAAACCAGACGAAAGGCAAACAACGAACGGGTGACTCGCTTGCTGTGCCTCAATCAAACCAAGCGGAATCACTCATGAGAGTTCTCACGGGCTCACAGGCAGCATAAAGGCACATCGACAGGAGCATAAGGGGGGTACAAGACAAGAAGAGGAGGAGAACTCACAAACGCATCACGCAGCTGTGAGTGCCCTTCTAGAGACATTATCCTTAAGAGGGACCTACTTTTGAGGCGCCTCAAAACTAGAGAGCATTCAAAAATAGAGGGCCTGTCTCTATGCCTTGACACATCACAAGTGTCTGTCAAACGAAAAGTCTTTGTTTTGTCTTTGTTCATCAATGCATAGTGATGGGCGAAGTCTTTGCGACAATTGCTAGCAAACAAATAATAGAGGACTTACAGGCGTGTCAAGGAAGTGAGACGGGAGAAGAAGTGGGGAATGGTGCTGGACAAGGTAGTTCCGTCCAGACTCCTGGTGGTGCCCGCGTTTAGAGGGAGAGAGAGGTGTGGATGGGGGAGAAAAGAGGAGGATCGGATGAGCGTTTTGAGTCGACTCAAACTAAGAAGAGGGGAATGGAATGGGGTAGACAAGATAGTGCCGTCCAGGCTCCTGGTGGTGGATCGGGTAGGGATAATAACAGATGGGGATAATAACAGATGGAAATAATAACAGATGGGGATAATAACAGATGGGGATAATAACAGATGGGGATAATAACAGATGGGGATAATAACAGATGGGGATAGTAACAGATGGGGATAGTAACAGATGGGGATAATAACAGATGGGGATAATAACAGATGGGGATAATAACAGATGGGGAT